ATACTCTCTGCATATCATGCTAATTTATGTTCTTCTTGTCCTATGTTTATTCCCTGTATATTCAAATTATTTCTGACTAATGGGCAAATGGTTCTGTTACTATAACAAAACAGAGGGGTGATAATGGGCATTCAGGGCACATACTTCTTAAAATGAGAAATGTTTCTGACAAGTGTCCATTTATTTTTACAACTCTATATGGATTAGTATGTAGAGCTGATAGTTTTGAAATGTTGTTTCTAGTCCCAAAGCATCTATTTTTCAGAGGTTTTTTCCTAAACTGCCAATTGACTCAATCAAAACCATTTTCAGGATCCAGTGGTAAAATAGGTGGGGTTCATTATTTGATTTGGAATAAAAAAATCAGATCTAATACTGTGGATATTATCAATCAACTACTTATTCTTAATGAACCCTGTTTGGTCTATATTAATATATTAAGGGAGTATTTTTAATCTGCTAAAACCAAGAACAAGTTTTGTGCATCTTCAGTAAAGAATTAGGTCTGCTTGAAGCACAAGTAGATAAATCTTTACTAGGTTTGGGGACTACTGCAATATGAGCTGCTCTCCTGGTTTCAGAAGACTTTTTTTGTTCAGTATCTCATTAAAAAACTTCTGGTAATAATAGGTGAGTCCTAACATTTTTTAAGGGGATGTTTCTAGTGTTTGTTCATTTATCCCTTCTGTCAGCTGCTGCTTCTAGCTGCCCTGTGGCACTGAGGTTCACTGCTCTGCCTGCTGGGAGTTCTTAAGGCTTCCATGGATGCTGCTCTTTTATTTGGCTGCTTCATAGGGCAGTCTGCATATTGGTACCTGGAGTACAGGTCCAGCAGTATTTGACCTGCAAAAGTAGAAGAATAGTCTTGATTTTAAAACCTTCTAGTAGCCTTAAGGACTAAGAGCCTTAATTAAGCAAACTGAAGTTGAATTGACCAGTTTTCAGCTACTTGTGTTCTATCAGTACCCAAAAAAGTGTGGATCATGAATGAAGGTTAACTAAGCAGCAAAGGGCTCAAATATTCATTAAGCTATGTGAGTTTTCCTGCAAGTAGGTTGTATGGACAATCAAGTAGCACTCACAAGGTTTTCTTGGAACTAATGTTCCGCTTTGGGTGGAATAGTTAATGGGCTAAGCAACAGCTAATTTGGGCGCGCATTACATACCAATACTGTAGCAAAACAGGGATGCCAAATGGGTGCATTTCTTTTTCGGTTGATAGCATTAAGTTCCTCCTTTGTAAAATACTTCAGTAAATTTAAGATTTGTATCTCTGTTTGATTATGGATAAAGGTTTCCTTTGTCTGTTGCACTCACCTTTTAATAGAGTTCCTTCTGGCTTGTCAGTCTTTATACATAAATAAAAGCTGACACGCTAGTGAACTGTCTGAGGAATTTGTTTAAGGGATGAAATTTGCCTTCTGGATGGATACTGAGGCTCATGCTATGCCATCTAACTTTGCATAAGTCTAAGCAGTGTAATGTTCAATGTTTTTGCATGTGCAGATGTCATAAAGAAGCTTTTGAGATCCTAGGCCTTGGACATATTTAGTTGTGCTTATATATGCCCATATGTTCTGTAGTGCTACAAAGATGGTGTATCAAGCAGACACTTCTCTGTAGCACCGTGTTTGCGTGGCGTCTTTATGAAGCGCGGACAGTTGCATCAGTACTTCTGCAGTACTTCTCAGCAGTTCTGCAGAAGGTGTTTGGTCTCTCTGTGCTCTGTTCTTCCTTCCCCACTCCAATATGGAGGGAGGGAGAGTGGTGGGGCTCCCTGACAGCATACAGAGACCAAAGCTACACCTGTTAGCCACTAGCTGTCAGCCGCTGCTGCCTAAGAGCAAGCAGCAGCTCTGCTGGGGACCCTGCTGCTGCCATGGTGATGGCAGGGACCTGTCCCTGAAGCTGTGGCACTGCAGAGGGTGCCTCTATTAGGGGCAGCACAAACAGGTGTTGCTGCTACAGCAGTGGGGGTGGGAGATGGTGCTGCTGCAGTGACAATGGTGGTCCTGGCAGCAGCAGTTCTTTCCCCCTCGCCCCCTCTGCTAGTGTTACGGGGGGGTGGGGAGGTGTCAGGCATCTTATTGCTGCCCCTGGGACTAGGACAACAGCCCTTTTCCTGCTTCTCGGGTTGGGGAGAAGGCAGGCTCACAGTGATTGGGGTCACTGAGAAGCTGCAGGAAGTGAAGAAACAGCACTTCGTTACCCCCTGGCTGGAGAGTATCTCTTTGACTGCTTTGTACCAGGGGCTTTCAATGTGTAGGCCCCCATAGTGCTGCAACTTCTGTACTGAGGTGCTCAGTTGTCCTGTATGTCAGTGTAGTAAACCTTGCAATCCTAGATATTTTCAACTTTATTACTTGGCAGTAGTGCAAACCTGACACTGGAAACTGAAGGGTTTTCTTTGGATGGTATAAACCAGAGCTGTCCAATTGGCAGCAGGTGCAGACCGCAAGAGGTTAAATTACAGCCTTCAGGCTCCCAGCCGGCCACCACTTCCCCTATTGCATTGGCATTAGCAGCTGGGGACCTGGGCTCCCAGTCCTCTGGCTTCTCTTTTCTGCCCCTGCCCTCGGGAGGTTGTGGGGCAGTGCGTACAGCACAGCACAGCACAGCCTGCAGTGCAGCAAGGTGCTTGCAGCTGGGAACCTAAGGGTGAGTGAGGGTGCCAGGTGGATGGTGCAGCAGGGGACAGACACCCGGAGGAGCAGCAGGTTAACCATTGATTAACCATTATGCTGAAGTTTACCTTGGAGTTTTCTATCTATATGTAACAGACACTAACTTTAGTTGTGTCCCTGAATATATCTTGGAAGATATTTAGAAGTTGATATTTCCCATACGTATTATTACACTATTTTATAATCACTGAGGGCTGATTATAAAATGTCTTCATGCATGATTGGCATCTGTAGATTCTAATGCAATATCTTATATTGTGCAATTAATGAATTATTCTGTATCTTAGATATATGTTATAATACTCATCAACCTGCTCTTTATTAAGTCACTGAATGGCTTTAGAATAATGAACCTCAAAAGCATTTAGAGCTGTGTAAATGTGTTCTCCACTTGTTGGCCAAGCTGAAAAATCAAAACAAATTCATCTTTTCTCGACAAACATGCCTTTGACCCCAAACACTTAATTTTGTCTTTTGGGTTTAACCCTTTTTCTTTTTTAAATAGCAATTTTCTAAACTATGGCATTGAATAGAAATAACTTTTTGTAACTGTTGAAACAAAAATGGTTCAGACGTCTTTATTTAGTGGCTGAAACTCAGCAAAAATAGTTACTCAATTTGACCAGAATTTACAAATAATCTTGGTCACCCAAAGCTGCATTTGTCAGTGAATAATTTTAGCTAAATTTTTTTATCTAGGAATAATGTGAACCATATAACTGAGGGACTTTCATTTTGATAACTCCCTTCCTCCCTCTCTCCCACCTCTTGTGACACAATTTAATTTTAATACATTTTTGGGGTGGGGTAAGTATACATGGGTGGCTTGGGTTTTAATTCCTACAGAGTGCACACTGACCAGGAGCTGTTGTCCTTCATGATGAGACGTCACACAGGCCTTGTGTCAGAAATTCAGATGCCCACCTGAATGTTGGATAGCAATCCCTGGCACATCAACAGAAAACTGTATGGACTTGTTTTGAAACAGAATGCAACTAAACATTTGCTACATCTTGTACTATTGCAAGCTCTTTAGGACTGAGTTTAGGTTTCTGTATAAGTTTAAGCAATGTCCAGCACAGTATTGTCTATGCCACCATCTGTCACGAATGTCAGACAATTAATGCTAAATTTTCTGTGCTTTATGGAAATGGACTTCTATTTGCTTCAATCATGTTTCAGTGTGAAACTTCCACATTCTGCCTCTGGCAAGGTCATAAGGAACTATTCACATTGTCTTCATTGTTTGCAGTATCCACAACAGGAGAGACACACACCTTCATAATCTGATTTTGCTGGAATAGTGAATGTAGTTTGATGGTCAGATGACATTTACCTTTCTATTTAAAAAAATGCACATATCAGAACCTCTGGATACATACTGTACAACCACAGTTCCCAGACTGACTTTATCCAGTCTCTTCTATGCAAGTTGCATATGGATGAATATAGTACAGAAATAAAAGGGGTTAGAAAATGGACAGCAAGGGAACAAATGCTAGACCTTCTTTTAAAGAGGATACAAATACTGGTAAGAGGGGACAATACAATGAATGGCAGGCAAAGGGTAACATGCACTTTTATATTGATCTTTAAAATAGAAGAGCAAGAGGACAGTTGTCAAAAATGGACTTCAACAAATTGGTGATCCTGCATCAGTATGGGAGTAGGTCAGATGGCTTAGTTTCTCTTACCAGGTTTTTTTTGGTTTTGTTCTGTTTTTGTGATTTTTTTTTTTAATGCAACTGTGAAGCTTCACAGACAAGGCTATATCAGGCTGTTACGGATTTATCAGGGTAATATTTATGATTATTTCTGGTAGTTTGGGAAAAACCAATAAGTAGAATGATGTGGAAAATGTTATTCTTTGTTCCAAGTTATGCTATCAGTTTCCCTTGTGATGTTAATGCATATTAGACTCTGTTCATGATGTAACCATTGGTGATTACAGAACATTATCTTAGGGTGGGGGAATCATTAGATATACTCTTTAGGAGTGCCTTTCCTTGGTATTTTATCCTTCTAACCTGTATATATTAGAAAGTTGGAAAATACTTTGTGTGATAGGATAATCATACTATGTAGCCTCTATAGTGACCTGCACCAAATCACAGTTGTGCAAGTGTAACTGTATTGGAAAAGACCAATCCTTTAATATGATCCTTGCATACTCGGGGAGTAACTTGTGCCTTAGCAACACCTTTTTGTAAGACTAGGGCCATGTTAACAACCCTTTAGTGCAGTATTAGAATAGAAAATGCAGCTGATGATCATGCTTACTTGCTTACTTATGTGAGATTCTTGTTTTCTCTTCAGCAAAGTATCCAGCAATCAAGTCTCTAATGGGACCAGATCCCCATTTAAAATGGATTGTTTCTGGAATGGTTTTCTCACAGCTGCTAGCCTGTTACTTGGTGAAGGATTTATCATGGAAATGGATTTTCTTTTGGGCTTATGCCTTTGGGGGTTGCGTCAACCACTCATTGACCCTTGCAATCCATGATATTTCACACAATGTTGCCTTTGGAAACAAGCAGGCTAAATGGAATAGATGGTTTGCTGTCTTTGCCAACCTGCCAATTGGAGTTCCTTATTCTGCCTCGTTCAAGAAATACCACATTGACCATCATCGATACCTTGGTGGAGATGCATTGGACGTGGATATTCCGACAGACTTTGAAGGCTGGTTCTTTTGTACTCCGTTTCGGAAACTAATTTGGCTTGCCCTCCAACCATTGTTTTATAGCCTGAGACCACTCTATGTGAACCCCAAAGCAATCACTCACATGGAAATATGTAATGCTCTGGTACAGTTTACTCTAGATTTCATAATATATTTCCTTTGGGGATTGAAGCCTGTTATTTATTTAATAGCGGGCTCATTACTGGGTATGGGCATACATCCAATTTCTGGGCACTTCATTGCAGAACACTACATGTTCTTAAAAGGGTATGAAACATATTCATATTATGGACCTTTGAATTGGATCACCTTTAATGTTGGCTACCACATGGAGCATCACGATTTCCCCAGCATTCCTGGATGCAAGCTGCCAATGGTAAGCATGCAAGTTTTAACAATTGAATTGGGTCCATGTAAAAATTGCTATTATCATTCTACTACAACCGTTCTTAATTAAGCAAAGGTCCCTACAATTTTTAACTAAAACTGCAAGCATATCTTGAAATTTCCTGAAGGACTATTCTGGAAGAAGATAGGCAAGGAGTCAAAATGTAAGTTATAGGATAACATTATAAGGTTTAGATAGTATGGTAATTGCTTCAGCATAAAAAATATTGCTAGTAGCCTCAGCTTCAGCTCTTCAGCTTAAGTTCACCTTTCTTTCTACAAGGCTTGTAGGTGTGTACCAAGGTGGAAGCAAGACAAGTACGTTGGTATGTGTCACAAGTACGTGTAGGTGAAAATGAATTGGAGCAGAGAGATGGCTTCATCTTCAGTTGTGTTGAAAATGTTTGCCTGATCTGTAGAGTAACTTTGCAATGGAATATCACAGTTGATATACCAGGTGAAAGGGGCTAGTTGGTTTTATTTACATTTAGTATAAAAATGCCACCGGTTGTTCATAAACTGTGTGTGAATAGTCGAGTAGCCGGGAGGAAAAACAAGAATATCTTTTTAGTTTATAGGTCTGAGTTGGTTGCTTGCCACCATCTTGTTTACATAAAATGTATCCAGTTAAACTTGTCCAGTGATCAGAGAGAGTTTGAAGTGTGATCCTGTATAATTGCTGCTGTGCAAAACCTAGGAGGACATGGGCTCAGCTTTGAAGCACACTAACTTAACAACTAAGTTCAGAGAGACAGACCAGCAGTGGCTGATGAGTATTTTATTTTTTGAGGCCTCTAAAATTTAACATATGCAAAGGACTTGACTTTCTGAAAGTGCTGAGCATTTGCCTTCTGAAAAATTGGGCTTGTTTTGTGTCACACGTTCTGGAAATAAAGTTCTGGCCATGCAGGGCTTTGATTTCTTGTTTATAAGTGTTCTTGATTTAATGGATTAACACTGGGCATTCTAAAAGCACCATTTAAGAAGAGCTGGGTTGATGTAGAAGAGATTGTACTTACTGTATGCATGGGGTTTTGCCTACTGGTTCAATTACCTGAATTGTCTGCGAATGCTTCACAGTCATCCAAGAGCTTCTGATGCTTCACAAATATTTCCATGACTATTGAGTGCAAAAGCCTCTGAGCAAGCCTGGTAAATGCCTCCCTTTACACTGCATCAATGCAAACCCTTTCAGTACTGCTGTAAGTGAGAGTAGTGAAGGTGTTACTTTTTAGTTGGTCTTCCTCATCTGCCCCAACATGCTCTTGGTCTTCCTTTATTAGAGATCATTCTGCCATGCTTCATGAAGCGTGTGCACAAGTTTGAACAAAAGTGTACTTAGCTGGTTGCTAAAGCTGGCGATGTTGTTAGGCAGGTGTGAAAGACAGAGGAGTTTCCCCATTCCCTGATCAGTTTTCATGGGTTTTGGGAGCTATTAGTTCACCCCCTTGGCAAGGATGGTAGGGAAGAGCTAGTTGAACCTCATGAAGGTGCTTGGAAGTGTTCCACCTGCTGGTCACGATGCACAGACTATATACGTCTATGGATCTTAGGTTAGTCTCCTACTCTATCTGCCTCTAGTAAGGACTAGAGAACTTATCAAGCTTTTGCGCAGTGGACTCAGGTGAATTTTTTGTCAGTGCTTTTGATAGAAAACTGGTCACAGAGGTAGAAATTTTTGCAAAATCTCAAAATAGAAAAAATTGTTGCCAAAACCCCCAAAAGCTGAAGATCAAATTTTGCAGAAAACAGTCCCATTCATAATTTTTTAATTTTTTTTTTTACAAGGGACAGAAAAAATTCTTCCCAACTAGCTTCATTGCACAAGTGGCACAACAGTAAGAATGAGAAAGCAAAGAGCTTACCTTTTTTAGGGAATCCCAATCTCAAGGTGAGCTTTGAGATGAAGCCTGCCTATTAGTAGCTAATAGGACAACATGTAATCTCATTCCCTTGCCCCAACCTGTTTCAAGCAGGTAAGTTGTGTCCCCGACTAGTTATGTGACTGGACAGAACAGAATCTATGGACGAATGTATTGGAGCAGGTCATCAGCTGGTACATAGGTGCACAGAGATGCTGGTATGACATATTTTTCATGTAAAAGCCACTCACTCATGGAAAAAAACATGATATTCACAGATCAAAACCTAATGAAAATGCAGTGCACTGTATCTAGTACTGGGGACTGCATCTGTTCTTGGCAGCTGTAGTAAGAATTAGGGTCCATATAGTATGCTATAGCAACAGTTAGGGGAGCATTGTATGGCCATGTTGGCCTGGTTCAAACAAAGCAGGCTGGCTGGTATTAAAGGGGTGGTGGCAGAACGAGAGAATAATTGGACTTTGAACCGTACATCCACTTGTTTATCTCATGCTTGGTTTTGTCTGTTGCTACAGATGGCTCATGCAAACTGTCCCAGCATTGTACTTGCTGCTGGAAAAATATGCATTAGTTTGATCCTTGAACGATTACAGAACAGAAACAGGAAACACTGGGTCATGCTGTAACCTGGTAGCCATTAAATGTAAGCTGCATGGGTCTCCTTTACCAATAAGATGCAAGTTACCTCTTACCTTGTATACCATGAAATTAATACCATAGTGTTTCAAAGTATTAGTTTTAAAGATCAATGTGACACTTGTTACTAGGAGTTACTTTTGCACAAACTTCATTCTCAGATTTTAAACAGGAGTAAAGGGTACATTCTGTTTATCTGTAGACTTGCGCACCCTTGTGAAAATGCATTAACTATAGTGGAAATCTTCTCTACAAACAGAATAAAAGGAACTGTTGTTACACTGAGTATTACCAAAGGCAAAGTAGTTAGTTATCAAACTTGTGGGAGGGAAGGATGTAGCAGAGTATAAAACCAGACATAAACTGGCTACCCTGAAGATCTATTGTGGCTGTGTTTGTTTAAAACACAGGTTAACTCATGAGAGCCAGTGTTAACTTTTCAATCACTTACTTTTTTTTAATGAAGTACTTGGAGCCATTAACGCACATGTAGGTAGCCTATAAATGTTCTTTGGATTGATGCCATCATCCCCTCTTCTTTACTCTTAGACTTTTTCTTATGGCAAGAACTTTTATCATCTTAATGTTTAGATAGGCTGTAGCACACAGGGATTTCTACAGTGCAGCTAGTCTAGAAGACGGTGAATATACCTGTAGTAAGGGGTTGGAATTTCAGTGGTATCTAGGAGCTCCAGTCAGCTACCTGCCCCCCTATGCCAGGCACCGTACAAACAACCAGAGAGAATGCCCTTGCCCCCAGGAGCTTACAAACAATTCAAGACTACCATCAGATGGCTACAGACAAATGGGGCACTATTGGCCCGTCTATGTAGGACCCTGCCAAACATACAGGTAAAGGCCTGGTAGGAACTGATGTGCAATCCACACATTCACACTTCCTGGCGTGCCACACCCGCCATCACAATCTCAGGCACTGGCAAGTTGCAGACTCCTGTGGCTGGGAGCCTGCAGCTGATGGGGGCTCCCAGCTGCAGGGCCACCGCATGTGCTCCTGCAGCTGCAAGCTCCATTGGCTGTGGGCTCCCAGCTGCAGGAGCTCATGGTGCATCCCTGCAGCCGGGAACCCATCACCTGTGAGATTCTCACCTCAAAGGTGGATGGCATGTCTCTGAGGCTGGGAGCCTAGATCAGCTGACACAGCTCCAAGCTATGGGGCACTCCTGGCTGTGCACTCAATTGATGGCATCATAGGAACCAGCCACAAAGTTGTACAGTTTTTGTGGCATAACTTTTTGGCTTATTCCTTGTTTTAAGACACCATTAATTGCTTTAACATATGGCTGGGTTATGATTCACAAGTGCTGTCTGCCTGCAGCTTATTCCAGGGCAGTAAGATAGTTTGATCAAGACGGAGGCTATTACCTGCTCATCTGCCACCTAGTGGAGAGATTTAATAATAGTTCCTTCTGTGCATTGTGACTTAAAGCTAGGTTTGTGCATTGATTTAATACAGGTGTAAATGTGTCATCATCTCTCCAGTCAGCCTGACTGTCCTGTGCATCCAGGAGATTAGGGTACACAGTCTGTGTTTTGTGATGCTGTTAGACTGTACAGCCAAACACACTAGGTGACTTCATGTTGGATTTCTTCCCATGGTAATCTCATCAACAATGCAAGACTGTAAAGAACATTGCTGGTTTTAGTATGCAGGATAAAACTTCCATATAGTTTCTGTGAGGTGGCACAGCGGGGAAACCCAGAAATCAAAATATACATTTAGGACATGGAAAATATTTGTCTATAGCCTCTACATACTGGATAGAAAGCAGAACAAGGGAAGTTCTGGGGACCCCAAGTATCAACAATCTGGATGACCCAGTAAGAGACATCTGCATTGTAGAAGCCTCCCTGAATCAATGGCCCCATTAGAGTAGGACAGATAGCTACTTTGCTTTAAATGTATTAGTGCTGCTCCTGCACCAAGGTAGTCTTCAGAGTGCAGGACAGCACTGCTGTTCTCAGCACACTGGTTGTGTGTAGTGTAGATCAGGCCTGAGCTATTGGGAGAACGAAGTCGCATTAATGTCAGCCCCACATAGAGGTCTGGCAATAGAGAAAATGTAGGGGTGCAGGCCAGCTTGAAGAGGCGCTCAGGGCCCTTTCATAGCTTGTACCCATTCTTCTCTTTGGATGCTGAGGAGGGATAATTCCAGTGTTGCAGGGGGTGGCAAGGGTGAGGCAGTTGGCAGCGCCCTTCTGCTTCCTAAGTGAATTCCAGCCTTAGCGTTAGGGTGAAGGAGGAATGAGAACTGTTCTGCTGGGGCTGGCTTCTCAGATGACACAAAACCTATGTCCTGTGACCACTTACAAAATCTCCTTTAAAAAAAAAAACACAACAAAAAACCCTTAATTTCTGTAGGGAATGTATTGCTGATACCCCATTGGTTGTTGTGTGTGCTTGCTGTGTTAGCCAGGTAATGACCACATTTTAGATGATCAAATACTTTCTGAAAGTGGCTTGCAAATGTAGGTGAACATTTATTGTCATAGTATTTGGGCACCAGAATTAGAATCTGCTAGAGCAGGCTCTGCGCAAACATAGCAGGCACTAGTCCTTGTTGCCAGGAGCTCACAACTTGAATAGATGTGGTGGGAAAATAGTCCCTGTTTCATGAGGGGAGTAGAAGTCATGTAACAGAGGAATTATGCTATCTGAAGCTAAAGTCACAGAAAGCTTGTGAACAAAATCCATACCCCCAAAAGTTCTGATCATCCTTTTCCTGAACAACATGAATCTTTATCTGTGTCTGCTAAATAGTAAGAACTCTTTTCTGACTGATGAGCAGGAAAGTAGACGGCACAGCGTAAAGACCCTTGTGCCCTAGCGAAACATCCAGATCCCATCACTTCTCTCATTAAATTGTGAGCTCCTGGAGGCAAGGATTAGTGTACAGTGTTGATGCAGAGCCTGTTCTAGCAGAGTTTCTCTGTCTAAACCCAAAGAGCTGAGACAATCCAAGTTCTTGCAGAAGTGTGTAGTATCTGAGTGCTAGGGTTTACTTTTTCAACCCCTTCTGGATAAAAAGCTGCATAACCAGAAGTTGGTGTAAAAAAAGTAATTCCCTGTGTACCATAAAGTGTGCAAGACAGTGTCAAAAGGGGATGTAAAAACAGGAAGTTGAAGGAATTTATAGTGCAGCCAGCTGCAACTGATATGGGTTTACATTTTAACTCCACCTGAGGTTCTTAGGTTGGGGGGGAGGGTTGTTTTTGTTTTTTGTTTTTCTTTAAATTGAAGGTCAAAAAGCTGCATACAAATTAGTCATGCTTCCCATGAGCCATAGGCATCATAGTTTAATGAAGGGGGGGAGAAATCTTATTGCTCTTGACTTAGCTAGCTTTTACAGTCTTTGGGTGTTTGCTTTTTAATTGGAAGTGAATAATTGGCTGAAAGGAAACTTGTTTTTTGATCTGAGACACTATGGCTTTTGTTTGCCTAGAAGGTGGAGTTCTAGTTTTAACTGTTACCTGGTTATAGGGGGTGTGTGCATGTGTTCCCTTTGCAGGTTTTTGGAAATATACAGCACACCAATTGATTTTTTAACTGTTTCCTGAGTGTACCTAAGGGATGCATCTACATGAGATGCTTTATTCGAGATTAGAGCAAATTACTGTGCAATAAGGGTTGCCATCTACACATGCAGATGCTTACTGTGTGGTAATTTGCTGTAATCATGAGTCATTTTGCTACCTGTAAATACAATTAGCAAATTTACTTGTGAGTAATTACTGTGCACTATGGCAAGTGTAGAGGCTAATCAGGAGCAAATTTGGTCCCCGTCAGCTGGGCAGCAGGGAGCAGGAGATTGCTCCCTGCCCCTGGGAGCTGCCTGCCACTAGAGCCTGGGCAGGTACAATGTCCTCTTGCCCTGGCAGCCGGGAGCTCCTCGGCCCCACTCTGCAAATGCAGACCAGGGGCGGGGAACTCCCTGCTGCCGGGGCAGGGGAACATTGCCCACACCCAGGCTCTACCACCAGAGCCTGCCCCAGCAGCAGGCAGCTCCTGAGGGCAGGGAGCAATCTCCCAGCCCCTTCCAGGAGATGGATGTCTCCTCGGCCCATGTGTCCTACCAGCCCCTGGACTAGAGCTCCCCCTGGCTGCTGCATGGGGCTGGTGCAGCACCAGTGGGGGAAGGAACAGGCTGAAAGCAGGAGAATCTGCTCCTGCTTTCCTGCATGTGTGGACACCTGCTTGGGCTGGGTTTACTCTGGAGTAAATTGCTCTAGAGTAAACCCACCCTGGAGTATTTGCATGTGTAGATGTGCACAAGGAGCACAGCAGGTAGCTGAAAGTGATCTAGCTGATTATCAGATTTCTGTTCAAGTGGTAGGGGTAGGATGAAGTAGAAGACAGCACACAGCTTAGATTCAGGAGGATTTTAGAACACTACTGTAATCACAGATAGACAGCAGCTACCTTTTGTCCACTTCCCTGCTAAAACCATTAAGGTTTAATCTGATTATTGTTTTAGTTAGTTGGGGTTTTTTTCATTCTCAAACCTGTAAATTAAGCTGCAAATACGGAGGGCAGCCTACATGGCCCTTTACTAAGCACTTTGTAGAGCTGTGGGTGAGCAGAGAGAAGCTTAATTAGGGATCTGAGATTAGTCAGCATTTTTGCTGCATGCCCAGTAATGGCACTGATGGGGAGATGGCTGCAGCCAGCTGTATTTGGTCACTTCTGCACTGGTTTGTGGAATCACTGAAGTGAGGTGACAGTACCTGAACTTGTAACTATTGTGGTGATATCTGAGATATGGACAAGCACATCCTGAGGAATAAATTTGGAGCAACTAGCCTGTCAGTAAAATGAAGCAGACTGGGCATTTGAAAGCATGAGAAATGAACAGGCTCTGCAGTGAAAACATAGGCATCTGGAAGTGCAACAAGCTTGGCTCTGATCTATCGGGGGGGGGGGGGAAAACTTGCCATTGTT